GACGTGCGGAATCGGATCCATGCAGAATCCGATATGAATTCGCATCAATTATCGAATTTATATACATTATTATCGGGCGTGGATCTCATACTTCCGAGTTCCACCCTATTTGATAACGGTCGCGGATCCAATATGATTGAGTTTTGGGTTATCGGGTTGTTATCATTGCCACTGCATTTAAAATTTTTATTTTTTTTCTTTTGAAAATGACTATTGTAAGAAGAAAATATTGTTACGTATTAATCCAAAATCGTATATATAGAAATGTCGGAGACATCATGAAAATATCATACTTTTGATGTGTCACCTTCATTAAGGTCAAAGTCAAAAAGAGATTTTTTGATTCAATCCCTCCAATAGTGAAATTAATAATGTAAGGTTTTCAAAGGTTTGAATAGTTCCAAAAAGAAATATAACTTTTTATGAAATATATTTTTTTTACTTTTATGATTATTTCTTTTATTATAATGAATGAGAAGAAAATTTATATTTTCTTATTTTGAATTAGTCATCACGTAGACACCAGACGGATGATTTGGATCTCACGTGACGACCATCGAGTCCTTATTGTTTTTTTTCTTTTAATTTATACTTTAAAAAAAATATTATAATATTTTGAGTTGAACGAAAAGTCAGAGTTGGTATAACATCGTAATTTTATAAATTTTTAAATATAAAGTCAAAATCACAAAACATTGATTATATAATTTAATTCATAATCAATCACCCATATGATATTTCAATTATTTTTAAGAATTCATAATATTTAATTTAAAAAATACAATAGTGCTCGAGACAATTAATTATCTTTAAATTCGGAACCACAATTGAGTGAGTTATCTTTCATATATTTATGATTATAAATTCGATTATAAAAAATTGCATCATCGCTATGCATGCGTTTGTATTGATGGTAGATACAGAATAATCTTATAATATTCTCCATTAAGATTAGGTATGTGTGTCATTATCATTATTAAAAGTAAAGTTTGGAATCAATAGCTATCATGATTGATTGAGATGCTAAAAGCTTATAAGTGGGGATTGTTCTTTCAGTCATCCATCGATAACATTGGCTTATGCTTTCAAGTTTTCACACGATATCGACTTAAGAGTCTGATGAGTGTATTACTATCAACTTCAACTTTAAGTTATTTTGATGAATAATTTGGATCTAACGAAGTCGATGGATTAATTAGCCTATCATGCTGCTGATGGAGGGGGAAAATGTTCGGTCAACTCCACCCATCATCGTATAGACGGACGACCTACTATACCTAATGGATCAGATGAATTCTGATGCAAATCTGCAAAAGATTAGCCCAAGAAATCATAACATAGACTGGATCATCGTGAGAGACACGACGGCAATGCAGATACAAGAATTCCTCGACTGCAATGGTCTACAACAGGACGAAGAAGCTTTCTTTCGTCAATGGAGTCATCCTCCTGTCTGGCCTCGAGTACTTCCTTTTTCCTCATCTATGTGGTCAGAGTTGTAGCATGGTAATCTCTGATGGCTTCTCCCGCACGCACGCAGTTGTGGTCAGACAACCAGGGCTTGTGAATGCCGACGAGGGATGCAGACAAACCATCTGCTTACAGCTCCCCCTGACTACCTGTGTATCTCCTACGATCACACTTCTTTAGTTGATGTCGAGCTTGAAGACTGCTCTCGTGTTGAGAGGATAAGATCTCTGATACCGGATGCGGTTGCTGGTGATTTGATCCATTTACAATCATGTAGATACTGAAGCTATTTGTTGGAAATCTACATAGGAACAAGGTCAGTAAATTAAAAGGGTATTATAGATCACATAGAAATAAATATAAATGGAGGAGATCAAAGAAAGAAGTAGATCATACTTCCGAAGATGCAGTAGGATTGGCCTTGAAAATGAAGTCCTGGCTTCTGAGAGCTCCTAAGAGAACAAATGATCTCTCTGTAGTCATTTGAAGCTTGTTTCTTTGCTTTGCTTCCTGCTGTCAGTCCTTTCTTCTCCATTCTGCAAGTATAAAATTTATGATTTACTATTATTATTATGTGAAAAACTTTAATGTCAGAAAATAAAATTAAATAAAGATAGTTTAGATTTATGATGCGTACCTTTCGATATCATCAACAGGTGCACCATCACTATAAGCAATTAATTAGAGACTAAGGAAGATTGAGAATATATAATCTCGTATATCATTTCTAGAGATCATGGTTTTCTATATAAGTAGAGATTTATGATGATAATTAAGAGAGTCTCTCCCATCAAGATGATGATAAAGAATTCTACTATAATTGAACTTTTTTTTTATTGATCGATAATCATAATCAAAATTCTATCAAATCTATAATATATCTTACCTAATTAGATAGAATCATATAATCTAACATCTTCGTATCATAAACATTCACCAGATTGAAAAGCTTGTGCTCTTTCGCATTGCAGGTGATGAGCCAGGTTCGACATTGCACCAGGGAAGTCTGATACTATCTCAGATCACATGCAGAGTTGGCTCCTGTGGTGGTGGTGATGGCACCACCTGCACTTGTCACACCAAATTCCCATGGGGAGGAGCTCCGATGTTACTGAGTGAACTCTGATGTTACTGAGGAAATAAATATGATAATTAATCTAGAAACTTAAAATAAACCATGACTAAAGATGCAGTGCTCCTCAACAAATCAATCCAGTTCTTTCGGTATACCTGCATGGTTCATGAAGCAATTAATCAAACACATGATATCACAAATTTCTTGAGTAGGTAAGTCTTGGTACAAGCTTTTCATGGCAGTTCCACAGGTGAAGCAGTATAGTAAAGGCAAATAATACAGATGCATATTAAGAAGCAACTTTCCCAAGGAAACACATCAACTTAGGAATTGCTTCCGGGCAAAGATCCACGGAGAGTATCTGTGCAGATAATGCTAGAATCATTAATCAATTAGCAGATGCAGACTGACTGCTTAGGATGTAGATTTTGTTCAGCTGGTTTAGAGAAAGATTTTTCCCCTATCATAACATCTAAAACTCAAAACAATTCCATCCATCAAGAATAAACTGTTACTATTGTACTCCCAACCAGCAAGCAGTATACTGATTCCATCTCCTTATTCTAGCTTCTCACTGTCAGTGGGAGTTCCATATGTTCTCTTAACCGGAAGCAAGCAGGTGCCAGGAAACTGTTCTGCTTCATACATTGAACACAAGCAGAAGGAATATGTTCCTCCTGTCTAAATACATACAGATCTTATTATACATGCATTTTAAGTTGGACACCTGCTTCCTCTCAGAAGAAAAGTTTCAACACCTGCTAATTGTTTGTGAAGCTTCTAACCTCTTTCTTACTGATTGTATTTGATTTAGAAATGACAATTCATGGGCTGGAACAAAAGAAGGGGCCCCAAAGATCTCAGCACAGTAGTTTGTTCAGATCATTCAGATACATGCATTAGGTCAGATAGTTTCCCTTTGGGTCCCCCAAGAGAAATCCCTTCTTCATCCTTTATGAAGTGAATAACATGTTAATTAGGACGATATAGGACGGTTTCCGACACAAATTCAATGATAATTTCGAGTTGGATCTGCATTCCAACCTTACATAATTGCAACAAGCCGAAAGGTGTGACAAGACTCAGTGGCTAATAAAGCTCAAGAACTATTTCTAGGAAGCAAACCATGTTTGATGACTGCTTAACACACCTAATCATAGATGGTGTCCTGTAGGGATGGATTTGTGAACTGATAGTTGACTAGATGCTACATTCGTTTGATCACAAGGAAAACAAATAACATGAGTTCCATGCTAAAGATATACAAAACAAATAGCAAGAGTATTGACAACAGGACTATGCTAATTAATAGCCATGATAAGTTGAACTTGTTTATGGATTTTGGTCTCACCACATTAGCAGTTTCATGTAATACCAAATCCCACAAATCAGCACAAAAAAAGAGCTTTTAAGGGAAGAAAATATTCATCCATCCGTTCATGCACCAAATGACAACTTCAATGTAACATAATCCATGAAGATACTCAAGCAGATATTACTTATCCACACATTAATTAGGTAGCAGACATCATTTGATCTGATCTCAACAAAGATTTTGCCTCCTAACATGCTTGAGAATTCAGAACACTTAGCCATCTCCTTATTCTAGCTTCTCAGTGTTTTCCGGTTTATGCATGCTCACTCAACTGCTTGCAGAAGACCACAGAACTCAGGTTTTCTATTGTATGAACAGATCATGTCTGATCCAACACTATGTTCTTTGAATCCTCAAGAGATAGCAGCATGTACTATATATTTCCTTACACCTAATTATGCATAGTTATGTTCAGACAGGAAACAAAGGACAGAAGGTTTGAGTCAACTCCCTACTCATTGTTTGAGAAGCTTCTCACTGACTTCCTGCAGCCCAAACCAGAGGGCACTTTTCCAGATCAGTGAACTTAAAAATGGCAGCAGTAGTTGGGATAGGAAATGACCCACAAGGTTGGACTGTTCAAAGTTAGACAGGGTGTGTTACTAAGTTTGCTGGAGGTCAAATTCTCTCTTGATATCCTTCCTTGACTCAGAGCTACAATCCAGCTAGTTTACACCTTCCATGCACTCAGAACTTGCAATGGTGGTTGCTTGTTCTTTGGGCTGTTTGTTTCAACAAGACAACAAAATTGATCTAAAGCTAAGAACTATTTATTATTGGTCACTAGAAGCTGAAATGTTTTAGATTACTGTTCTATGGTTGCTAAAGACTGTTTAGTTGTGACAAAGTTTTGCTTAATGATACTTGTAGATAAATCTTATTGTTGCTTATTTTGTTTTCCATTGCTAAAGACTGTGCATGCTATTCTATAACACAAAGCTAAAAATACTTGACCTTTCTTTCACACAAAAAGAAATAATATGTGATCACATCAGTCCCCATCTCACACCCTCTTCTGATCTAAGACTCCACTACCATATAATTACCCCACTCGGTCTTGATTCAATTAGACTCGTTCCTTCCCCCTTCCTCACCAGCCATTAATTGCTTGGGTGAATGAATTAGGTGGGTGTATATAAATACTCCCAATGGACTCTCCCTTCCTCCATTACTCGGTCTCCTCAGCTTGCCTTGCTCATAAGCCTCACCTCTGCCGCCAGCGTCTTCTTAGCTCTGTTGCCCACGTTACGATGTTCCGCAGGTACAGGATACCGCTCTGCTGCTGGTGCGGCAACACCGACGACTTGGAGCTCGGCCCGGCCCAGGCTCGCGTTGCCGACAGCCCCGACGCTGAGAAGGAGGCGGAGGAGGAGAAGGGGGTGCCGGCCCGGCGGTTCGGGTGCGCGGAGATCGAGTCGTTCGCCGGGAAGTTCGCCACCGCCGCGGTGGTCGGTGAGGGCGGGTGCAGCACCGTCTACCTTGCCCGCCTCCCGGACTCCTCTCTCGCTGCCCTTAAGCTCCACCGCCCGAGCGAGCGCCTCCACCGCGCCTTCCGCCAGGAGCTCGACGTACTCCTCCGCCTCCGCCACCCCCACATCGTCCGCCTCCTCGGCTACTGCGACGACGGCGGTTCGTCTCTCTCTCTCTCTCTTACGGACAGACCGCCTTCAACGTCTTTCTTAATTTTCGATTTGGTCATCAATGGCAGAAGAAGAAGGCGTTTTGGTGTTCGAGTACGCACCCAACGGCAGCCTCCACGAGAAGCTCCACGGCGGCGGGGAGGTGCTGCCGTGGGCGCGGCGGATGGCGATCGCGTACCAGGTGGCGCAAGCGCTCGACTACCTGCACGAAGGGTGCGACCCGCAAGTTGTGCACGGCGACGTGAAGGCTGCAAACGTCCTCCTCGACAGACGGCTGGAGGCGAAACTTTGCGACTTCGGGTCGGCCCGGGTGGGCTTCTCAGCAGCGGTGGCGCCGCCGCGCTCCGCCCGCGCCATGGTGGTGGGATCGCCGGGCTACGTCGACCCACACTACCTGCGCTCCGGAATGGTCTCCAAGAAGAGCGACGTGTACAGCTTCGGGGTGCTGCTGCTGGAGCTGCTCACCGGAGCAGAGGCGTTCGACGCGGAGCGAGAGCGGCGGCTGACGGCGGAGCTCGGCCCGGTGCTTCGGGACCCGGACGGTCGGGCCGCGGAGGTTGTGGACGCTAGACTGAGCGGGGTGTACGACGCCGGGGAGGCGAAGGCGGCGGCGGTGGTGGCAGCCATGTGCGTCCGGGACAACCCCAGCCTCCGCCCCTCGATGGCGGAGGTCGTCAGGATGCTGCGGGCTTCGGCTTCCATCGCAACCGTTGAATCAAAATCCAACGGCAAGAGTGATTCGTAGTAGAAGAAAAAAGTTGCGTTGATTTGTGACTTATGTCGTACAAAGTATATACCACGTAGAGAAGGCGTAGGGAGGAGAGGAAATACGCACGCGTAGCACAACGTCAAAAGATAATAAGATAGCAAAGAAGGGTTACCAATAAACCATTTTTTCTATCATTTTGGTGGAGGTGTGAATTGACTCTGTTCTCAATCTCTTCCGAATAATCAATCAACAAATGAGAATGCAACTCAACGCAACACATTCCATGATTTCACCATCTTTAAATTATTTGTGCAGCAGCAAATCATTCTTCTTTGACAACATAATAAGGAAATTCTAATTTGATTAGATGTGTCTACTCGAAATTATAGAAAAACAATGTTCTAAAGGAAGAAGGATATTTATTCTTTGAAGCCAGAGAATGTCTTTTTCGAAATTTATACTCATTTTTCCCTAAGCAAACTGATAATTATTTTTCTCATTTTTGAAATTAGAAATCTGACAACAATAATAATAATAATAATATGATCTTTGTAATACTAAAAAATGATGCCAAATATAAATTTTTACCTAAATACATTTACTTAAGAATCATAATCTTTGGGGCATGTGAAGTTGCAACAATTCATGAAAAATATGTACATTTAGACGAAATACAAACTCATTTAAAGCTGTTCACAAAAAATGCTATTCGACCGAGTCACCGGAAATCATTGCATGTCTGGTGTTGCCGTCCTAAACCTCCCGTCCATGGAAGAACAGTGACAGCTTGAGGACCTAATTAATAGAAGGGAAGCAACAACGTACCTTGGAAAGCTTGTTTTTGTTGTGAGAAAAGCTACGTATCACAGAACAAAAGTAGAATGCGACTCACTACCAGACGAATCATTGAGAGAGAGAGAGAGATGTTATGTCTGGTCTCGTGTGCTGGTGAACTGGGAAAGCAGAGGACTAGTATTTTAATGCCAGTGGCTGTGCACTGCCATTCTTAGTAGGTTTGATCACGTTTCTGACATGCCTATGTGAACTGTGAAGAAAGTCAAAATATACCCCAGAGAAAGAGCAGCATCACAAATAATGAGCTGACAGGGAGATTTTGGTTGTCTTAATCTTCCTAGTTATCCATAGTATTTACTATGGTAAGATGATGATGAGAACTCTCGAGGAAAACGTTGCAAACATCATAAAATATCACTATGTGAACCATACAAGATGACCATGTAATTCTAAAGGTTTCTTGGTCTTACTGGATGGTGGATCAAGGAACAAGTTGAATGATGACTCAGAGGACCACCACTGTTGGCAGGTAGGCTCAGAGTACATGCAGTCTTCCTGCTTTCCAGCTGCGAAGAACAGCTGGAACACAGAGAAGGGTCTCTTTCCAACTTAAAACACCGGGCTTTCCACCTTGTGAAGCTATCTTGATTGAGGTATTATGAGACACAGGGGGTAATGAGAAGGAAGGCTAATAATGCGTGTGGCGAACATGTGAGGGAGGACGACGACTGGGCCTGACAGCACACAACCTCTAATGATGAGTAGTAGGAGAAAGCATACCTGTTGTTGTCCTCGAGTCATTCCTCCACATGCCAAGTTCTGGGAAATGGTGGCGAAGAAGACCATCAACATTGCCTAAACAGTAGGAATAATTCGGTCATTTTACACATTTTCATTATGTAATCAATGAAAACAGAACCGATGAACATAATTAAGAAACGAAGAAACGAATCTTGTAGCAGTAGAAATGAGAAGATAACGAAACATTATCCTGCTTGAAGTAGGATATGCTTGGAACTTTTCTGGCGCCGATAGTCTGATAAAAAGGCATGAATGACTATTACTTGATTTCAGCTTTACCTGATGTAACTTAGTCCTGGTTCAATAGGATTTCACGGGTTTTGATGGAAAGCTGGAGCACCTATAAAGTAGTCAGATGGCCTGCTTTGATGGGGACCTGTGATCAAGTAAAAAGATTTATTTAAGACATCGCTCGAACAACTTCCAAACAAGTGTTTAGCAAGAAGCAGCAAAATGGTAGTCCAGTTCATTCAGCATACCTGTTCATGGTGACTCGGAGCATCCTTGTATCAGCAAAGCCCAGAGACGGTGCCCTGATACCTCAATCCATCCTAGGCTGCCAGACTTGACAATATGCTGAAGAAAAAGCTCAGAAATATGAGATATCAGAAATAATATGATCACATCAGGAAGAACTAAACTAGAATATCCTTCCAACTATATTTTAAGCCTTTAGACTGCTAATACTGACAGAAAACCTTACTCATCTCGTAATGGTAATATCTTTAAGAGTAAACAAAAAAATTTATACATGATAATTCTAAGAGATGACGGAAGTTGACATTTACAGAATGGCCATATCTGGTAACAATATCATTAAATATTAGTTTAAAGAAAGAACAATTCCCATGATGTTAAAAGAACTAGCAACTGAACATGCACCATTTTTCATTGCTGCTGGACTCATTGGCGCTATCAAATAGTATGAAAGGCAGACACATATACCATACAACTAATGTAGCATGATTAAGGTACAACAAGCTTATGTTGCAGGCTCTCTCTAGCTCATTATCAACATTTAGGAACTTTCCTGGCCCATATCCAACAAGACACCAACAATTCATGGAACAACCTGATGACACCATGTCACTGATACTACTGTTGTGTTACAGCAGACATTCTAAGATTACAAAGCAAAGCATCACGACCCATTAAAACGATTTCGAAAAAGTCATTGACTTGTTTTGAAACAGAATCTAGCTCATGGCCAAGGCTGTTGGCCCCATTGACCAAATTGATAGCATACTCCTGCAACATTTGCCTTTCTAAGCCGGTGCTCTTCCTTGGTGCAATCATTTCCTCTTCATGATTAATGCCAATGCCATCTTGCACGGGTTCTTTCTGACAACAGTCGCTGATAGTCAAATTGCATAACCCTGAAGCACATGCTTCAACTGCCGCTATCTCTTTGAATATCACCACCTTCCCACTGTCAAACCGTCTCCTAATTTCCTCGTTTGCAGCAGCTTGCAAGTCACTGAAGGCCTCAAACCAAAAGAAGTCCTCAGAAGAAATGTGCAAGTCGATCAGTGGTTTTGAGCAACCAGACAGCATCACTGAAACGACACCACAAATGAATACAGTCATGACCTTAACTCCATACAAGGCTCTCATCAATACCTTTCCTTTGGAGCTTTTGACCTTTGGTAAACCAAGAGTTCCTCGAAGACTTTCAATAACAGGACAGCTTTCCAGTTTGAAACTCTTGGAGTTGATACGTTCGATCCATTCATGAAGATGCAAATGAGATTTTTTGAGTTGTTCAGGTGAAGGATGACTGGTGGAGACGTCCATAAGACGTACCACATACTGAAGCAGAATTTGACCTTGATTTAATCGGGATAGCTCAGAGCTTAACGCAATGCAAATATCAAGCAACTTCACACTGCTGTCCAAGTATGTGTCAATCCACTTCTCATCCCAGTCAGAAACAGGTAACTGAAGCTCATTAATTAAAGTTTTTAAGCTATTATAAGCTTCTGATAAGAACTCGATAGCAAGCCTCATCCAGGATAGAGTAAGGACATCTGCATTATCCTTAGGCTTGAGCTTTTTCAATTTATCTGCCAAGTTTTTCTCAAAAGAAAACTGTAATTCACGAAGCTTCAGCGACAAATAAGATCCCTTGGGGAGGATAATACGAAAAGGATTTCCAAATGGAAAGAAGGTCCGCTGTCCATCATGTGGTCGACTCATGTTTGTTGAACTTCTAGCTGAAATATACTCTGTTCTTCAGGATAGCTAACATAAGCAAATATGACAATTAAAATCAGAAGTCAAAACCAGGAGAAAGGACAAACCAATCAGATAAAAAACAGTGGTGTAATAGAAAAAGGAAAAAATATTAAGAGAAAGGACAAGAGAAGCAACAAAATAGCAAGATCAGTTCCATGCCTTCTAACAAACATAAGAGCAAGAATTGTACCTTTGTTAGTTTCTCTTATTTTCAAATATTCGAAAAAGCCAACAGAATAAACAAGTACAGCAATAGATCTGATCGTGTTGTCTCTACAAAGAAAATGAATGTTCTTCATCAGCCACACCTTTGGTTGGTCACTTTTTTTATGACATGCACAAGGAAAACACCTTAGACATGTATGCCTCAGTTGAGGCGAGGCACAAGTTTAGGGCCTCAATAGGCCTTGCACCTTAGTGCACTTGACCAGCACTGATGGACTTGCAAATCTATGTTTATGTTACCAGACGACCAACAAACATAATAAAGAAAAAGTTCAGAGAAGCATTGGTCTGAGAGTTCTTCTATGGAAGCTAGATTTCTCACGATCCAGGCCTGATGAGCTAACTGGCTCATCAACTTCGTTTGACCTAAACCATTAGCCAAAAAGCTAAAGTTGATAATAGTACACTCATCAAACCCTTATAAGCCAACCTTATAGTCTTTGCCCAATTTAGATGTAAGACTAATTTGGGTGTTACAATTTCTTCCACTCAAGGGCTTGATATCCTCGACCCAGCATAGCCCAGGTCAAACCCTAACATAGTGCATGTGAGACGTAGCCCAATTATGACTCCATACCGTGATGAGTCCTCTGACTCCATCCACGAGTAGACATTTCCTACTCGAGCCCCCTCACCATACCAAAATACTAGGTCGAATCTGATACTAAATATCATGCCTCGGGCCTGATAGGCTAACTGGCCCATCAACTTTGTTTGACCTAAACCATTGGTAAAAATACTTAAGCTGAAGTTGATAGTAGCACACTAATTGGACCACTATAAGTCAATCTTAGTCTTACCCACTTCCGATGTAGGACTAACCAAGATGTTATAAGATTGATCAGCACCTGAATTTCTAAATGCTATTAGTCAATATGAGCCTCCAACAACATTGATCCTACACCAATGCGTTCAACAATTCAGATCTTTGGCTGCCTTATGTATAATTCTAAAACCAAGTATGAAGGCTTGAAGCAACTCTACTAGTAACCCTTAGATCATGTATCATCTACCGCTACAAAAATGCCGATAGTAGTTAATATGAGGACCCTCTCGAGAATTTAGTGAGCATATGAAAAGATAGGAAGATACCAAGATATAAAAGTTCATATGGTGAGAGTTTGAATAATTATGGTGCCTTTGCAGGTTTCAGATGTCCAGTTTAATGGTATTGGCCTATTTGCTTGATCTGATGGTCTTCAATAAAAAGAAGTCATTAAATGATAAATATCTTGGTGAATTTTTTTATCAGGATTTATTTTGGTGTTTCGATAGCTTCAGTGGTTTTAAGTCAATCTGTACCAATGGTTTTCAGCCAAAACTGTTTGTCCTGGATATAACCAAAACTTGGATGAAGAGTTATTTAGGGAACTACTAATCCTGATCCATATAATCGATCTGGATTAGGATGGACTGTAAATTTTTAAAACCTCAATATCTGAAATTTGAAAATCTGGAGCTAATGGGAGTGGCATGGATGAGAGAAAGATCATATTACCATGTCTGAAGACTAACCAAATTTTCTTATCATATACTCTATTTATCGAAAATAAAATTATCACACCATCTCCATGAATCAACTATGATAAAATTCTCGTAGCACCTTCACTGGTTGTCAGGACAACTCCATGAGCATATGGAGTTTATGGATGCTTCATATTTTACCGCCTTGTTTGCAACCTCAAATATAGGGCTACAACCTAGTAACAATTGGACAAAATGAAAAACCCTAGCCAAGCCAGCGATTGAAACCCCCAAATCATTTACCTGCTCCAAGTTAGGCAACGCTTGAAGATCCAATTGTGTCAGTACAATCAGCATGTGTCAAGGCAGGTTGCTAGATCATGTATAACTAATACACTACGGGATTGAAGAACAACCACGTACATTATGATAAATCTAATGAATTCAATTCCACAAATGCCTAAACCTAAATATGCATGCGCTAGTAAACAAAATTAGTCATATAACCACATCAATGTTAGCAGCAGCAACAAGAAGAAGAAGAAAGAAATACGACTCACAATAAATAGGCTTGGTGACAGATAAAATAGCGTAAATCCCAAAGGGAAAACGAGCTTTCCATTACCCTGACAAAATTTTAGCTCAAGAACTAGATAATTAGCTGAACAGAAGTCGATGATAGAGAGGCATCAAGGAATGCCCAAATCTCAGATCGGAAACTCCTCCATCAACGCTGAGAGAAGTGCCTAACGATCAAACCGGTGCCTTTATAAGCAGAAAATAAATGGATCCCCAAAAAACCCTAAAATTTCTACTTTCTTTCGAAGGGATCTTGGATTCGTCGATCAATCTACTCTACGACTAGCAGAGATCCAACAGATCCACGCTTTCGGCGCAAGGAACGGATCCGTTGAGAAGATTAGAAGCAAAGGCTTAGAAATCGAGGACTAGAGAGCTTTCGTACCTGAGAAAGCGGCATCCGACGGAAGAAAGGAGAGAAGAAGAAGAGGTCGTCTCACGATCAGTCTCCGCCGCCCATGTTGAAAGAACCACGCCTTCTTACCGGTAGGGAACAATACGAAGGTAAGAAAGCTTTCAACCGTTGGATACGAGACACGCCGCTTTAAGATGTCAATATTTCTAATCCGACGGTCTTCTGTCATTCTACGTTTGCGACCCATCGGATCGGCTGTTAGGCACGAACATGGGAAAGCGCACTAATATCCGTTCATTTGTGAAAACGTGGCGCTTTATGATGCGTTTCTTTTGTTGAATTATGATGCATACCCAACATTTTGCTTTCGAGCTTTCTCGGCTTCTTTGTGTCATCAATATGCATAAATGACCTCATCAGATCTGACCATCCAAGAGCAGAGCTGATGAGGAACTAAGACAGCCATCTCTGGATTAGTAGCTTCAAATACTTTTCTTCTGTAAACAAAATCCTTTGAATCAACGTTGCAATCTCTAAACTTCACATGAGAATTCCATTACTGCAGTCCAAAACCATTCAAATGGGATTACAAGAGCAGCAAGACTACAGACAACAAGAACGACGAGAGAACCAGGGAGACACAATGAACCAGAGAGGACAACGTGGAGCTTCCGTTGGGCATCGTCGGGTACGAATCCGGCGGCGGCATGACACAATCATGTCCATTGAACGATAGCCTCCTCGGGAAAGCCCAGCCTCCACCGAAGGTAAAGTCTGCAGCGTCTTTGTGCAGCAGCATCTCGGTCTGCACATTCCCGTTCTCGCCGCACTGAATCAACATGTCATTGTAATGTTTGATGCCCCAAAACATCGCGGTATCATCTGCAAAAGGAGAACGTCAGGTGATCAACTGCACCTGCATGCAGCAATGGAGCTCCTCAAGGGTGAGCACTCACTGATCTCGCCATACTGGACGAGAGGCAGGTAGTTGAAGCTGAAGATTTGTAGTATGCTCCGAAAGTTGGGATGCTGTATCACCAAATTCCAGTCGCTGTAGTTGCTGTACATGTTGAAGTTGGTGATCGTCACCTTCACTCGCCAGTACTCTCTGTAGCTCTCCTTCACGTGCCAGTGCACGCGAATGGGGCACATGTGCGGCGTGCACAAGACAGCCGGGCTTGTCGTCGAGCCACCATCGCCGTTTGGCAACCGAAGAAAATTCGATTGCTCGCCATCCCTGCAACATCGTGAACACAGGTGATGTGTTTCAGAGAAGATTCATGGAGGGAAGGGAGAAGCTTGCCTCGAGCAAGTGGGTAATGTCGGTTCTCCTTGGCACCCACAGCTACAACGAGGGCATGAGACTATGGTACTGTTGTAGAACGTCGACAAAGAAACGCAGCAGCTGGGCGTTGCAGATTCCCTGAATTGGGAGAAGGAACAGGTGATTTCCCATGTCACTGCAAAGTCGTTTCTCCATCAGAAACAGTAGAAAAACCTTCGAATAAATGTTCTCTGGACAGATCAGTGGAGAGGGAACTGAAATAGACATGCTCCGGACTCACTCAGTGCCTGGGTGGTGCGTTGCTTGTCGAACTGGAACTTGCTGGGTGCCACAACAGTGGCATTGCTGCAAGTATAACCAGGTATCCCGAGGGTGAAGTTTGATGGCTTCCCGGTGGCGGGACTGCTGATGTTAGCAGACTCCATGGACATCTGGAAGGAGGCCATGGCCAGTGTTCGGTCCTGGGTGAGGGAAGACAACACACCTCCCCTGCAGCAGTTCTTGGTTTGCATGTTGTAGGGTGTTCCTGGCAGCAAATCCACAATGGTGGGGCTCTTCTCGCAGCAATGGGGGATGTTGTCACCCTTGAACTTGGAGCAGTTTCCTTGATTGGTAGTTTCGGCTCCCCGCATATCCCAAATCACTTCATCATTAGGCCATGTCCAACCTAATCTCCAACCAGGTCTCTCGATGTGCCGATACAGCTGGTAATTATATATGCTTACCGAAACCTGCAACATCAGAGGAAGAGCAAGATGAAGGGGATGGTAGCATTCGGTAATGTGCTTGAGAAGCTCAATTGAATTGAAGTTCTTAGTTTGATGTGAATGAACAGGAAATGCAAGACAGTGAATCAGCTAATGTAAGAAGAGTTGCAAAGGAAATGGCCCCAAGAAAATTCACAGTAGAACAAACAGTGGCATTGATACTTCCTCTTCAAATAACCATCTGAGAGTAGAAAATTGGGGCAAAGATAAATGCAATACAAGTTGTTTGTGACTCAAATATCTGTATACAAAGAACAATGGAAAGACCACCAAGTGCTCAAAGAAGTCATGCTCATTGTTGGATGTGTTGTTTAACTATAATAGGGGCATTAGGCTTTGAGATAAGGCATCTGCCAATTCTGACTTCACTTTTCTTCACCTAAGTGTCCATGAATCGAGTGAACATATACTCGCATTTCCATGTTATTGAATGCCCAATAGGAGGGATGATCAAACATTCATGGGAGTGAAGACTGTCAAGAATAGTATAGCTTATTGATACGCTTGCACTTGTCTTTGGTAACATCTTCACGATTAGTATGTGTGCTCTGACATACGACAGAGACTCAGGTCAAAGCTGAAACAGGCTCGTCAGTTTCATGTCGAAGCTGACACAGGAGGAACGCACGGAGATGGAACGTCAACCTAAACCCTGTTAAGAATTCCGTGTATGCATCATCTGCCAAACTCTACAGGAACCTATATTGATGACAGCATAAGATTGATCGGGATGGGGGCTGCAGCAAGAACAGAGCAGGAAGAGGACTTTTGGAACAAGCGCAAGACGAATCGAATTAGAACTACAGGCAGTCGTCCACATCGACAAGAGGAAGAGCGGTAAAAGAAGGGTGATGATGGCAGCATCGTCTTACCATGTACATGTCCCCGGAGTTGGTCATGAAATCCCACTTGATCGTGATGTTGCCGTCGGGGTCCATCGGATCGTACGCATCTAAACAACAACACATCGGCGCTGCGTGAGAACAGAATCCACCAATCTAAAAGGCCGCAGAGTTAGAGCAGACCTGCGCAGCAGAACAGCAACAGCAACAGCAGCAGCAGCAGCAGCAGCGAGAGGGAGGCCGTCGCGGGTCTCATTTTCTCTGTCAGCGCCAAGAGACGTGCACCTGCACTCCCATGAAGCAGACGAAGGCAGAGGGGGAGACAAATGGGGGAGGAGAGAGGAAGGTGAGAGGTTGGCTTGTTCCCTTTGTTCTTTGTATCGCTTCCCCTTGCTCTAATCGACGGGTGGATGGGTTGGCAGCGTAGTGCATGCATTGGAAACGCAGCATCACAGCCAGATATGGAATGAGTCAATGCATGAATTAATTACCCCCTCCCTCTCTCTCTCTCTCTCTCTCTCTCTCCAAGTCCAACTGCTCCATTGGCGAGGCAGGCGGAGGATATCCGGCATTGGAAAGCCAGCGGAGCACCTTCCAATTCTTCCTTCCCATCTTGATATGTTTATCTGTTCCCCTATTTGGACGGAGTGCTGTTACACAGTTCCCAGGTTGCAGTATGATCTGTGTCCATCGAACTTTGAGATTAGGGAAATAATTATCATGATATAGATTTGTATAAGATTAAATCAAAGCATGAAGTCTTCGCTTAACGTCATAAATTACAGATAGTGGCTATGTGAATGGTGTCGAAGACAAACTGATGGCTTGGTATGTTCAACGTGTAATTCTTTGATATGAACGCCACTTGGTGGCAATATGACATTGGACCATATTAATTATACCTTGTCGTTTCTATGTGAATGGAACCATTATGTATTTGTATTAACTGCAAAAATTTCTAATATTTAATTGTAAATAGTGTATGACAAGTAGGATTAGTCATGTATTAAAATGAATATGGATGCTGTAAGTTTTGTGATCACCTTTTATATCAAAATGAAAAATTATACGTAGAATTATTAGATATATTTGGTGGTCAAAGAAGTAATATAGTGATTAAAAAATAATAATATGCTCGATACATCGATATCAAATAGTAGATATCATAATTGATATGATTTTATTTCTCATATATTATTAATTATATCAGAATTATTGTACTTCTTGTCAATTTAGTAATCATTCCGATATAAAAGTCATATTATATAATGATATAAACATCTGTGTGCATAATAATATAAAAGTCATATTATAAAAAATCTCTTAAATATATTTTTTCACTCATAATATTTATATCATTTTTTAGCATCATGCAAACATAATTTTACAAGATTCGACAACTCAGATGACTTAATTTTTTTCAATATCATGTATAAACATGCATGAAATAAGGCCTTGATTGGTTATGAGTTAGCATACCAATTAATAACAATACATGATATTTAATTAAAAAAAATTATAAATAATTATATGTAATTAAAATAGAAAAAAAAAGAAGCAAAATAAGAGTGTGTACACAAATACTTTTAGGCACGTAAACCGGCCTGCACTGTTGACTGCACACTGCAGGATATGTAACGAGTTTCTCATTAAGATCACTGCATCTCCTTTGATTCAACGTTCTTCTCCTGTTCATCGTTGCAAATACAAATCCTCTTTGACTTGGCAAGCGTTGAGACGTCATAAACAAGTGCTTGAGGCGAATTCTACCAGTGTGCACCCACACGCGATCGAAATATCCTGCTATCTTCCCAATGCTGCCTCTCCTCGTCCGCCAGGTCAACGCGCTGACCTCACCGCACGTGCTTCAGAATACCTTCCCTGCGTCCGCCATGTATTATTGTTGGCATCGCCTGTCTTCCCAATAGGTTTGAAGTACCGCTGCCTCAACACAGGTGTCGAGGTCGGAGATGGAGACGCGGAAGAAACGGACATTGACTTCCGCCGAGGCGGTCGCATCCTGTCCCGGTTCTAACTCTCTCTTCCACCTAATCCTGAGTCAGAAGAACTCTCTCCATAAATCCCCTTAGCCTTCTTCTTCAATTCCTGACCAGAAATCTTCAGCAGCATCAGCGGATCGTCGTGTTTGAGTAGGCTTTACGTTTATATAGTTGGTGATGTCCAACGTTCCTAATTCTCTCCGTGACTCCTCTCTCACCCTCTTCCGCCTCGCCATCTCCAGCTCCGATCGCTGGCCCTTCTCTCTCTAGCTTGCGTCCCCCGTCTCCCCTCTGCAGCTCCTCTTGCTGCCGGGTTGCCCGGTCTTCGCATGCAGCGTGGACGAGAAGAAGCGGGAGATAACACTAATAACAACGAGAAGATCGAGAGCCATCGCTGTCGTCGCTCGCTGGCCGGCTTCTTCCAGCTCCGCATGCCGCACATGGGGCACCGCGAGAGGAAGGAGCGGGCGGCCGCGGGGTTGCCGCCCAAGGGGTGCATGGCGGTCAGGGTGGGGCAGGAAGGGGAGGAGCAGCGGCGGGTCGTGGTGCCGGTGGCGCACCTCAGCCACCCCCTCTTCGCGGAGTTCCTGGAGGAGGCGAAGGCGGAGTATGGGTTCAGCCAGCCAGGGGCCATCTCCATCCCCTGCGGCGTCGATCACTTCCGCCACGTGAACGACGTCATCGACCGCGAGAGGGGCAGCGCTGCAGTCCATCACCACCACCTCCCCCTCCGCCTTCTTCACTTTACATGCTGTTTTGGAGCTTAATGACCGGTGATGATAAATAGATAAGTGATTAGGCTTTTGATATATGGATGAAGATAATGAAATTTGTTGGACTGTACTTTTTGGGGATTGAATGTGTTCGAAATAGATAATTTCAAGCTTATTGTAAGAAATATTTCATTCACTACACGAACATATTCGTCAATCCAATTATGAGATCATCCTTCATCAGATACCACTGAAAAAGGACAAATAATATGATCAATGTTCATGATCTGGGACATCGGCAGATCCTAACCATCCATCTTCAACAGTAGCGAGTCTCGTGATCTGCTCCGCTCACAGCTTCCTGCCAAGACCTGTGCATGTAACGCCACTGCCGCCATCGGAGCAGCTCGAATAGCTACTGTGTTGCTTCAACGTCTTTTGCGACGGTGATTCGGCCCGATGACTCACCCGTGATCACTCCAAGGCTATCTCTTCCTATGGGCTCTGCTGTGCCGCTGTAGACAAAAGTCGAAACCAAACTGGCAACTGCGGAGGGCCACAAGGAATAAAGATGGGGGAAACAGAGGACAAAGAAACAAAGTGACATGCACGCATCAGACGCCGCAGGGCCCTCCTAGAACGAGAAGTTGTACGTGATCCCATGTGCGAACTGCAAAGGCGAGCTCAGGATAAGCTTGCTGCCATCTCTCTTTTGGCCCTCCTCCCACCGGGCTCCTGCTTTGCTTAGTGACACTTGTGCTTGGCGTTTTCTTACACAGAGTCCCAGGAACAGTGAGGAGGCGCCACTTTTGGTGTTCCTTTTTGCTTTCTTTGAGCGCAGTGAGAATTATACATCAGAGAGAGCCTTTAGTTTTGATGGTGTTTGCTTGCACTATGTCGAGACTGGTCCATCTTGTGGCTCGTAGGTTGCGAGGCATTAGATCTTGCCAAACCAACGACCCGACAAGCTTTGCAGCCATGGCGTTCGGTCACTGATGGAGTGACTTCAAAGCTAGAGGCCCAGCCACCGTGACAACCACAAAAAGAACCGTGAAGGCTGTGCATCAGTCACAAAGTAATTACGTTTGGAGTAACACTTCCTGACGCCTGACATGGCTTACAGCACTGGAATGGCCCGAGGACTGCTCCAAGGACTACACCTTGCACGGCAAAGGAAAATGATACATGTCCTCATCCTATAAATCGGATCCTTCGCCCCCAAATCAAGTGCCTTCAGTCACCGGCTCATCCTCCTCTCCACTGCCACCCTCGAACAGACCATGCCTTCTCCGACGCAAAAGAACACCACCGCCGCTCTCTCTCCTGCTCCCCCCCCCCGCCCGCCGCCGCCGCCGCCTCCTTCTTCTAACAAGTGGGGCCCGTACTCCAGCGCCAAGGACTTCGACGCCAACATGGCCACCGTCCTCGTCGTGCTCGTGTGCGCCACGGCGCTTGCCTTCGCCCTCCACGCCGTCTTCCGCCTCCTCCTCCGTCGCCTGCGCCGCCGCCTCCCTCGGCCGTCCGCCGGCGGGGACAAGCCCCGGGCGGGGACGGCTCCGCCGCAGCTGCCGGGGTCCGTGGTGTTCTCCGCCGGGGCGACCGCGGTGGCGGGCGCCCCGGAGTGCGCCATCTGTCTCGCGGAGCTGGCGGAGGGCGAGCGCGTCCGCGTACTGCCGGCCTGCAGCCACGGGTTCCACGCCCTGTGCGTCGAGGCGTGGCTCCTCGGCCGCTCCTCCTGCCCCACCTGCCGGGCCGAGTGCCGTCCCTCTCCGGCGCAACCGGCGGAGCCGTGAGATGGCCACACGTCTGTGGCCGTAGAAGCTGCCACTCTTGCACAGACCGAGGCCAGGGGAGACGCCCAGTTCCAGAGCTGATTTGCTTCACTACTTACGAACTACAGCAATAAATTAATTAAAGGAGTTCTGTATGATGTTCTAGTGAGTCTTTAGCATGCAATCTCAGTCTCGGATGAATCATATACAGCATCATCTCTTCTCTCCCGCAGCATTAAACGCAAAGATACAAATTTACGAGCTGAGACGGGCACCATTACCGACCACAGCGTGGGAGAACGAACTGGAGACATAGGGAAACGGGAGGTAGGTGATGACGAAGTCCGAGGGATGCAGAGAGGGGTCCATGACGGAACGCACTAAGATATCAACTTTATGCGATTTCTTCTACTGGCAGTCGACTCTTCAGCCCTGCCTTCGCTTGCGCCGTGTTACAGGGGAGAGAAAGCTTCTGTTCCTGAGAACACTCTGGTTCTTTATCAGCCCATAGAAAAGAGACAGCAGCTAGAGAGAGAGAGAGCGAGAGAGATCTTAGTGTTAGATTGCATGATTGATGATGCTTGCTCAGAAGGCAATCATGTTTGGTTTCGTGTAGGCGGATCTCCGCCTGTATTCCAGGACGTATAATATACATAATCTCTCTCAAAAAAGAATAGAAACCTTGATATATTATACGTATTGTGCTGGAGCTGCCGGCATAAGACCAGCAAGAAGAAAGAAAGCAGCAGGTGGATATGCAGGCTCGGACGGGGAGTATTCCTCAAGAAATGGGTCCTCATCAGATGCACGCATCTTCTTTCTCTCTCTCTCTCTCTCTCGCTCAAGAAGGTTGCCACTCGAATGACCTTCAGATTCTTCATCGTCAATAAATCCATTCATATACTTCCAAAGCCCATAGATTTGGCTAAGTCAGGCTTTCCTGTGAAGCGTAGCTATCTCAAACCCAAAATATATACATATATATATTTATTTACAGTCTGGCAACAATTATTAAAGAAGAGAGAGAGAGGACCACCAATAGATGTTCTTGAGAGACGATGCAATTCCTCCTCTAGCATTTATAGAGGACTTTTTACATGGGGAAGGGGGGCATCAGCTTTGTTCTCGTCTCTTGGTGCTTTGGAAATGAACTTACTCGTACAAATGGGTTAATTATATGTTATCTTATATAATTAATTATTTTTAATATCTTAATTTTTATATTTTTAAAAATTATATTAAGATTTTTTATATTTATGAAAGTAAAATATTTAACCTCGTTTTTTCTCATGATTTTACTTATAAAAATTATATATATACCCTTATATACTTAAAAATATACTAAAAGAAAATTATAATATAAAAAATCAAGAGATATAGTTTTATTGGGAAACGGAATGAGACGATATTATTCAATTGTTTCGCTTTTTTTTTTTTTTTATCTTTGAAGATTTTGTTAGGAAATAAAATGAGACATTAAGGTAAAAGAATCTCTCTTATTATTATGTTTCGTTATCCTCATTGAAGTCGAAAGAAAGGATGAAATCGAAAAATAATTTTTACATAAGAGAAAATTAATATCGATGAGAATAATGAAATTATTTTATTAATTTTATGTTTTACACATATCAATATACGTGATATTTTTATTAACAAAATCAACTAAACGAGGAGAAATAAAGTTAAATATTTTTATTTTTATTTTTATAAATATAAAAATTATAATTTAAAATATAAACTAAATTATAAAAAAGATAATTTATTATTAACCCGCACAAACCTGATAAAAATACTACAAATACTTACTAACCCGTTTAATGAATTGAAATCACCAAACAACTGCAAGCAAGCAGAAACATGGTCATACATAGAGTAAGTAACCTTCACGCAACCATGATTGCTTTTGCGAACGGATTAATGGTTACACGAGAGGCAACAAAACATCCCCAAATAATAAATACGTGCATTACTCTCTCCACTTTGGGAACCCTAAAAGTTATCACGCCAGCGATCATTTTTCTACCATCATCATGCTTCACTAAACGCCTCGAGCCCTTCGATCACGAAGCTTTCGCGACAATTAAAGAAATCACATGTGAGCTTTGTTGCGATCAAGATTAGGTTCCAAACCCGACCCGCTACATTCGTCGTGGAATGATGACCTCACCGTTACGTAATCCACGTGTACCAACCACCTTACGATACGATGCATATTAAGTACACGATGGATGATATCACGCGGTCACCCGCAAATGTTGTATTAATTTGCGATCCGAGATCGAGCCCGCAAGCAAGCAAGCAAGTGTACGAAATCTGCTTATCGGGTTAGTGGATTCAGATTGGATCTGATCCGATAACAGGTAATTTTAGCAGTTGGGAGGCCTTTGTTTGATCATACTGAGGCGTCCTCGTGACAGAAATAAGAAATTAGAGTTCCAAATCAGTCTTCCATTCCATCACGTTCCCTCCATCCCCCTTCCTAATGATAAATTCCTAAATCCACCAACAAATTCCTGATCCGTTCGAACTCATCATCCTCTTCCTTTGGATTCCTCCTCCTCCTCCTCCTCTTCCTCTCTCTTTCTTCCGGGATTTGTAATTGGTTGAGTTATATGCCCCCAATCATATCATTCTCATCTCAATCTTCTTCTTCTTCTGCTGCTGCTGCTGTTGGTACTACTATTGTTATTGTCGTGATGACGTCCTCCGGGCGATGCCATGGGCCGCTGCGGCCGGTGACCTAATCTTGATCTGAAGCCCCGCCGCTGCCGATCGCCGCTCGGACATGGCGACGCCGTCTGAGTCCGATCGGACGGAGCAGATCATCACCCTGTTCCTCCACAAGGCCCAGCATGCCGTCCTCGCCTCCCGCATCCCGCACCTCCACCTCTCCGTCCCCCGCCCCGCCTCCGCCCGCGACCGTTGGTTCCACCTCGCCCTCGGTGACCTCCCCGCCCAGATCGGGCACCATGGCGCGGTCATGGACCCCTTGGTGGTCGACATCCTCCTCACCCCGCGCGGCGATGCCGATGACCCCACTGGCTCCCCTGAGGCCGTCGTCGAGCGCTGGACTGCCCAGTGCGTCCCCCCGTCTCCCTGGTCTGCCGCCGCGCCGCACCATCCCCACGATGGCAGCTGGCATCGCAAGACCTACAAGAAGTCCATAATTCTGCTCAGATCCCTCTACGCGCTGCTCCGTCTCCTCCCGGCTCACCGGATCTTCCGCCTGCTGTGCTCCTCCAGCCAGCCGTATAACTACGACCTCAGCTACAGGATATCCTCCTTCGTGGCGCCTCTCTCCAGGGCGGAAGAGGCGGAACTGAAGCAGTACAGCTTCGCGCCGGTGGAGACCTTGTTCGGCCAGCTCGTCGTGTCGGTGCAGTACCGCCCGAGCCTCGCCAACTTTAATCTTGAGGTCTCATCCATGCCGCCGATGATCATCACGGACTACGTCGGTAGCCCGGCTGCCGATCCCATGAGACCCTTCCCTTCTTCTCTACCGGAACGCGTGTCTCGTCCGATCATGCATCAGTATCCGCCGACGGGCATCCGGACGTCAGCAGCTCCTTCATTCGACCGCCCGCATAGCTGGAATAGTACACCGCTGGCACACCACCCTCTCAGTTCGGCTTCTGGGCTTCCGGTTTCGGAGATAGGTTTCTTGCTGCCTGAGAATTATGGTCATCTGGTGCCAAACCAGCGGCCTTTGGGCGAGAGGAAGGGAAGTTCCGGTTATAACGAGTTGAAGCTCTCACCACCACTTTCGACGTCGGCGTCCCCTTCTCCTCCAACGCGTGGTGGTGATTCCCCGCAGTCTAGATTTCATTTGGAGACGGCACCTGTGAGCATACCAACGGGGAAGAGTCAGCACCGCAGCCCCAACCTCTCGGACCCATTCAAGAGCCTTTTGCCTCCTCCATCTCCGAGAAGCACAAGGGCGGATCCTTATTGTCAAGAGTCTCCTTCGAGGAGTATATCTCTCAGAAAATCCGAAGGGTCGATTCTAGGAGATGTGTACTCAAACTTTCACATTTATGCTGCTCATAAGGTACTTGCTCGCTTCAACTTTTCTAGATTTCTTGAGTGATATAATTTTAATTTTTTACGGAATTTTGTTGCTGAATCTTGCCCTTTCTTGAATATAAACAAATAGATGCATTAAAATGCTAGCCATGACTACTAGGGGTTCGCACCTTGTTTAATTATTTTTTTGCTTCTTATAGAATCATAGGTTGTCAAACCTTGAAATCAGGTAAAAGAGAGGAATACTTCCTAACATTGCTACCTCATTCAGAATGGTAAGCATGGAGCATTAATTCCTAAGCATAAGTTCCATACTAGAAAACAATGTCTGAAATGATTTGCTTTTTGAGTGCTCCCTTTTGTAGTTTTGCGTTGTTCTTTTACAGGGAAATTGTTTATAAAGTCAGAGAATTTCTGTACCAAATGATGACAATGAAATAAAACCATTCTCTAAGGTCAATAGGTGATGGAATCCTTGCAATTAATATTAGGTCAACAGGTTTCTATCCTTGATCATAGATATCGATCTTGGAACTTCTCGAAAGTTATGATGAAGTTAGCTTGCACCGTTCCTCGGATGGGTGCTACTGCTACCTCTTATGCTATCAAAAATCAAGCATTTTTTGGGATCAATTTCACTTTGGGGCTATCTGCTCAGTATGAGAATGCCACTTCCCATGGGTCACAGAAGTGCTCAACAACCACCAGAACTACCTACGTCCTTCATTTTAAGTCCTTTTAAGTCTCTTAACATTTTTACTGAAACTTCCACCGCTTTTGAAGAAATCATATTGTCAGGGCTGGCAAATTTATTGGCCATGAGCTGAGAGACTACTGCACGATTGCTGACTGAAAGATTCAGATAATAGTTAAGCAGCACCATCCTAGTCAATCAATCATGCTTCTCAAGCCGTTGAATTTCAAAAGTTTGAGAGTCAGATACTTCTTCTGGCCCATGGTGTTCCAGAAGAAAATTTTAATATCAATGTTCTATACTGGTTACCACCACATTGTATACTATGATAAATCATGTCATTACAAGTTGGCTTTATCAATGTAGGATCTGACAGTTAACAAACGTGTTTGCTTCTACGATGGGGCTCAAAGATAAATATGTTGCAAGTCAATATCAATACCTTATCATGGCTCACATTCTGTGTTTAGAATCTTATTTTTTTAAAAATGGTTCCTCACAATTCTTGCCTTAAGATTTATCTTAGAAATGCTCGTTTGATGTGAATGTACTGCATCCATGGTTTGAGACACTTGTTATATTTCTTCTCCTCTTCCGCTTACTAGACCTTGTCAGACCTATATTCAGTGTCCAATGTTATCAGCTAGCCTCTTTAAGTAATCAATTTTTTGGGGGTTCAAAAAGTTGGAACTTTTTACAGCATTGTTTCAGCATGCCAATGGTAGTGACACAAATTTCCCTCAAATATTTTCAAACGAAAGTGAATCTTGAATTAGAAAGTAAGCTAATAGATTCATGAAAAACTTCATGTTGATGATACTCTTGTGTAAAACCTTTCATTTACTGGTATGTGTGTGTGTTTTTACATTAACAATACAAAAGATAGTTTGTACAGGAAAGTTGAAGGCATGGAGGATCATCTGATGTTGTATCTTGATGGCAATGTGTTCTTTGAGAACACAGTATTAGGATAACTGAGAGCAAAGATTTTCTTCTTTTTTAAACTCATGTTCTGCTTTATTCGTAAGGTTCCCAGTTGTAGTCTAGGCATGAATTCACTCCAATGATAGGTCTTCTTATCTCTGGTAAACTATTATTACTAGCAATCTTTTGTAAGCAGATGTTTGTCTGAAATCATCATCTGAACATGAAATTGATAGAGAAGGGTTTTAAGTATCTACTACTTCATTATAATTGTGGGCTACTCATCCAATCTCCAATAGGATGACAGTTTAGCAGGATAACATTTAGAGCATCCAAACAGAAGTTGCATTGTTTGTTTTCAGTAGGCAAGTTTTCCTATTAGGACTTCTGCAGTACCCAAAATCAATTGGCCACTTGACTTCATTAGAAATTGCTTGTTATCATTCCTATTTGAAGATTCTATTATCTTTTTTTCTTTGATACCCTCCATATAATTTGCTTAAATTGTCACAGTGTAGAAGTACTTGTGCTTGATAGTTTGTGAAGTTCAACTATAATTTGCTTGATATGTTGGTTTTACTTTATCTTTTAGGGTCTCAAGGATGGCCGGGATGATTCTGGAAGGTTCTCTGCTTTGTCTTCTGGTGGATCACCTAGATATGGTTTTTCGAGAAGTTCTAGTCGATTGTCAATTCAGGACGACCTTGATGATGGGGATTTTTCCTACCCATTTGCTGTAGATGATGTTGACACATCAGATTCACAAGCAAGGTGATTCTTACAGTGATTTATTCTACAGATGCTTAGATTGAAGTCTAAAATGGACAAACAAAGCTATATTGCTGGGTCAAAGATCTATTGTTTTTGCTTATCTAGCAAGATTTTGATTTAACTTAACATGAGACTCATAGAATACCGAGACTAAAGTCAACCGTGTAAGTTTAACTGTTCTGTGCTTTTATAGGAGACAAATTACCTTGTTCTTTTCAAAATTTCTTCCACAATCATTAGAAAAGATTCTGAATTCAATAATTCTAGCGATCCATCTTTCCGTGATTATTTTAATTCCTCCTTGTTTTAGACCAATACTTACGTAGTCGTGGATATCTAAAATTGGTTGGATACTTGGTCTTACAGTTCTTGATCTCCTCAGTAGTTCTAATATCTGCTTTGTCCTATTTGTTGAGTGCAATAGGTTTTGTCAGTTGAACTGTAGGGATTCTTCTCATCATTTTAGATTCGTTACCTGGAAGCATCAGTCCATTTTTGGGGTATGAGGCGCATCACATGTTGTACTTGATTACCTATTTCTTTCTCCTGACTTTTGCTAGTTTTAGTTAGACATATTAAAGGAAAGATCTGCCAGTTTAGTGATTATGTTTCTAATCGGGTATTGTGACTTGTACCTGGTTAGTACCTTGTTTAGAATATGATTGACAAAGTATGTAATAAAAAATATAGTGTTGATAATTCAGCGGATCTTATCTAGGCTGCTACGTAGATATTGCACCTGGGGGGATCAATCTCTGACATCCCTCCAGCAGCTGGCTTGGTTAACACGTGGGGATAGTTCAATGTGATTGTAGATGGCCTCTAAGTTTAATCCTTCCCTTCCAAATTCATTTTCTATTTATTTGTCCCAGACTTTTAATCTTGTCAGGGAATTTTGTTATATTCCTGATTCATCCAGAAATTTGTGAAGATTATATAATTATGTGAATGTTCATTCGTCGAGTTAGGTTTTTCATTCAAAGTAAGTGAACTTTAACCTGATAGTTACAATGTGATGAACTTTTACATTCAGCTGGCTTGGAGCTGACTGCTCTCTGAATAACATGAAAAGAAGCCTACATGGAGCTAGAAAACTTAACTTGTGAGTGTAACATAGTGTGCTTGTAGGCAAGGTTAAAAGTATGTTTGATGAGAGGAAAATGAAGTGATGGAGCTTTAGTGAGAAAAATATTTAGTATGAGTATCATTTAATGCTATCTTTCCATCTTGCACTTCTTTATCCACTTGACACAAGCATGCTTGTTTGCTTATGTGAATCTGAGGATGAGTCACAATTGCCAAATGTCGGAATTACGGAGGACATATTGCAAACTGTTCAAATAATCATATGGGAATGTGCAATTATCCATTATATCATTGAACACTGTGTATAGCATGACATCTAGCTGCTTTAACCTGATTGAGACCTAGAAATTGCTGATATCTCAGCTCACTGTTAGATGGGGACACTGAGGATGAATGGCAAGAGACACGGAACCTTGTCTATAATGTAAAAGTTTGGAGGGAAAGGTAGTGGAAAAACAAGGATTGACTGTATGCAGTGGACAATATGCCAATCCAAGTAGTAGTTACATGTTAGGTTTAACCCTTCCACCTTGTATAGAGTGGTAAACTAGTTTTACAGGCAGATGCAGGGTTTATGTTTCTACATGCTGTCGACAGTGTGTAGCTCTATGTCACATTATTTATTTGAAAATTTACACAGGATAATCGAGTTTTTGTGCATTAGCTTGCTGTATTCATAATGATTATTTTTTCTCCAACTATGCTTTTATCGATTGTTTTCACATTTAGCATGACTTGAGTAATTAATATTATTCTCGCCATGAAGAAAATTTGTAGAGTAACAACAATAGTACATTGCCTTTGAGTGTATAAATCATCATCTTCCTAGGCCCTGGGCCTTCTGGACTTAGCAACAAATGATATAAGACCTACTTTCTCTTTGGTTCATGTATTAGGCAAGAATCTTTATGCGGCAGTGCGGTCTACTTGGTCCTTGCTGTTATCTTATATATAGACCTTACTTAGTGGCCTAATTTTCTATGTTCCTATTTATTCAAAATCCATTCAATATAATAAATCTATTTTTTTTCATTGACAGGAGCTTTGATGGTAAGGAAGCATCAGAAGATACTCTGTCTCATAAATCACCAGAATTTGGCTCTTCTCATAAATCACGAGAGGCGGAAGTTGGCATTCTCGTCCACATGCTCAAAACCGCAGCTCCGCTGCGCCAAGGTCAGGGCTCCTTGCTGTCTTCAGAATCGAATGCAGAAGTTAGTATGAGCAGTTCTGTCATGTCTAGGAAAACATGCGACGTGTTAGAGGAGCTCCAAAGCTATAAAGAGCTGAAGAACTTGTTACTTTCGAAGAGTAAATCGGGATCGCTAGATTCTGTAAAACAAAGAAAAGAGTGAGTGGTGAAACCTTATCCTGCATCAGAATTAAAAGACTAGTGCAGTTCATACATAGGAGCAAAATGGCAGACTCTTTGATCATTCCCAAAGGATTTAGCCGTCTATCTGACAGTGGAGATTTGTCGTCTCCCATTGGATCTCTCCAAGAAGCTTGCTTCTGCAAAACTGATCATCCTCGTGCTCGACTGTGCATGATTAACTTTCTCATCTGTATATAGTTCTCACACCAAAATGATGTGTTCATTTGTTTTACTTGAACTTCAAGCTTGGCGCAAATCAATTTGTTGTCACATCAAAAATTTTTGTTCGCCACTGTAGTATCAGCCTACTTCATTTATGATGTTCCTGTTGCTGACTCTTACCAAACTTATTGTGGGTCTCCTCAAAACAAAATATCTTATGCTTGGCAATGCATCATACCTGATTGTTGATCTTGCGTTGCTGTTCATCTCACAAGCTGTGTTATATTGTGGCTGCGTTTGGGAATATTTTTTAGAAGCTTATTTCAAATTTGAATTGGTGTATGATATTTTTTTAAAAAAAATATCATATCTGACCTAAATATTACGTTACAAATGTTGATGCTATCCTAAGGTAGCATTAACATTTCAACATTTTTCTTATGATATTATCTAAAATCAGAAGATATATAATAGAAACTCTGGTTCTCATTTTCTCGTCTCGGTTTCTATCGACTCCTTTTATAAATTTATTGCATCGCTTATTTTGTTGTGTCACTTGTTTCATCCTGTCACAATGTTAATTTAATGAAAAAGCGATATAATTTATGTCTTCTATAGTGTGCAATTTTATTTATTTATTTATAAAATCATTTTATATTTATTCATATATTTTATATGTAGGTTATGTCTTGTCATAATTTTATCATTAAATTATCAAATCACGCGTAAAACAAAGAAATTCTAGTAGGTGTGATTACCACATTCTAGTCCGATGACAAGCGACTCGAAACACGTTTTCTCTTCTTGTAATCAATTGAAAACCTATAAAAGGACTATACTACCCTCCAAGACATTTAATGCTGTCTTATTCTTAAGACCATTGTAAGATTAAATTAATGCACTCATCGGTAAAAGATAATCGCGTACAAGTCGGATGAGAAACTGCCTCGAAAGATTTTTCGGATCTTAGATTCTTGAAATTTCCGCATACTGACGCTTACTTACTGCGGTGAGCAGACTTAGTTGACTAAAAACTCTGTGGGAACGGCTCCGTGTCGACTTATGCTTATTTAAGATATAAAAAAGAATTAGTGTACATATACTGACGGTGACAATACCGCAAACCGAGTCGGATCACAAATTGGCCCCAAAAAAAAATTTTTGCCGTCAAATCCTTCGAAATGGCCATACTTATCCCCATCTGCCGGTGAACGAACTCAATCCGCTACTAAAGCTTGCCAACTAATAAGAAGACCAAATTACCCCTATCTGATGACGTAGCATCAACGGACCCCGAAGGTACTATTGAAGTGCGGATACTCGCCAGTGACATCACCGCATAAGAGTCAGATCGCAAACTCGCCCAAAAAAATCTTTTTTGGCGTCAAATCCTCCAAATTCAGCGACCTTATTGTGACCCAGCGGTGAACGTACTCCATCTATCCGCTTCATGACTACAACTTCTTGTCATCTTTACGTGTCAATAAAAATCCAATATTGCACCCAACAAAAAAAATGACAATTAAATATTGTCCGCTTATAAAATTCAATCACCTGATCTCATGGACATACTCCTCGAAACAATCTCCACTCGGTGCTTTGCTCTTCCTATAGTCACATTTAATTTGATCTTTCTTTGGAACACTGTATTAGATAACTACTAATTGGGTGTTTACTTGGACCATTACCATGTAGTCAAAGAGTGCTATCTCTTTCGTCCAAATTAGCAAACTGGGCTCATTCCAATTATTGAGATGCAATATGCTTCATTTTAGGTTGCAAGTTTGATATCTTGTCCAACAAAATGTCAATCAAGTAAAGATTTTATCTAATCATTAAAAGGTTATCAAAATTCGCCTTGATCAAATCTCTAATCATATGAAAGAAAAAACAAATCACCATATATAAATATATGATATCTATGCTCTATGCATAACATATCTCCTCCCCTACTCCGTTTCAGAACCTATAGTTAGTTTCAAAGCATAGCTCATCGTTAGCAAAAGGAAAAATAACTAAGTTGACGTCTTCTTCCCGAGTTCATAGACACATGGAAGGAACTCTCGACCGTGCTACACTGCCCTAGGCAGTTGATGTTTCTATCTACAAAGGCACATCTTCTAGAGTTTTGAGGCCATGTGCATCGCACGCGAATGAAGCACGATAGATGATGACCTCAGGTCTGGAGAAGAATCAGGGGCCGTATGACAAATCCAGTGGACCGGATGCGTCCAATTCATGGAGTCAATAAATATAGCCCATCTCGTTTCACAGAAGAAAAGGAATAGCCAATGGCCAATTGACACGAAGAAGAAGAGAGGACAAAATAAGGGGAGGGGGCGGGGGCGGGGAGAACAATATCTGTGTGGACGGTGATGGGTTGGGGAACCAACCACCGAATGAACCAGAACGATGTGAAGAGGTCGCATTTGTGGAGGGACCAGAGGGTTCAACTTGTCATGTTCGTAGGAAAATTCAAGCTTCCTAGTCTTGTAAGCTTAATCTTTTGCCTCGTGCCAAACTAGATGGGCTCCATTTACATTGTCATCACCCGTAGAAAGTCTAACCACCAAGAAAGATTGGAAAGGAAGACACCACACGACTAACCATAGTGTGTGTATACACTATGGTTCGTTGGATGTTCCTATTAAATAACATCATCCATGTAAATTAAAATTCTCATTAAAAGAAATTAAATGAACTGAAAAAAAAATCAAGAAAAAGAAACTATTATTTAAGTTAAAGTACGTACAAAACAGAGGAAAGAAAACATGGGTTTGTACGGAAAGTAGGGGGGGGGGTAGGTGGATTCGCATCAGGAGGAGAGAAGGGAAGAGGCGCGCTTGCAGCGGAGCCTCTCGCTGCCAGCGGCGATCCGCGACCGGACTCGCTCGAACTTGGCAGCGGGGCAGGGGATGGTGATGCCACCGGGGTGGTGGAACCCGAACTCCTCCTCTGCCTCCCGCAGTAGCTCCCCGAACAGAGGGTGGTTGAAGTAGATGACCGGCACCATGTACCTCCGCGGCGGCCCGCCCTCCTTCTCTCCTCCCACGTACACCGCCAGGTGTCCTTTCGGCGGCGGCGTCCACCCCCGCCGGGCCTCCCCCTCCATTTCTATTAGCGGCGCTCCCGCACTCAATTTCCGGTCGTCGGCGGAGGTTCGGGCACCGATCCTGCAGTGCGGTCCTCGGCAGAAGCGGCCGGCTATGTGGCGGCCCCAGTCGAAGATCTTCGTCGCCATCGTCGAAGTCTTCGAAAGGTTGGATTTTGAGGGGGTGTCGAGGCGGAGGTAGTGTTTGGGGCGGCGGCGGCGGACGACCCATCGCCAGACTCCCACTAGTCGCCGCCCCAACTTGAAACCTCTAAACCTCTTCATAACTAAAAGTACAGTACCAGTTAGGAAGAGGGGTCAAATAGCGGGAAGAGGAGCATCAAACAAACAAGGAGACGGTGGCTCGGATGAGAAACAACGCAGCCAAACTCTCTCTGCTGTTGGTACACAGAGAAAGATGGGAGTAGCGAAGCAAAGAGGAGGTAGAGGAGAGAAGATGAGTCGAGAGTGGAAAGGCAAAGAGGAGGCTGGGGGTAGTGAAGCAGAACATTAAGTAGAGGAGGGACGAGTCGGGTGGCTCTTCCGTTGGCCGAGAGTCGTGCCAACAGTAGTCGATGTTAAATATCGGGCTCGTCGGTATTAACAACCGCTTACACTTCAACGGACATGATTACACTTAACGTTGGTTATGATATCATATGTGACATGAGGAAAATAAGACATTACACCCATCTAAATCTCTAATTCTCTTCCTATTTCTATTGTTTTTTATCTTAGTAGGTTGATCAACCGATTAGGGTTCAAAGATTCGACTGATGACTCGATCGATCAGGAAATATTCGATACTAACAAGGTATACTTTTCCAATGTAGAAAATTAAAATGAGGGGAAAAAAAGATTGACTAAAAAGGCTTGACAAGGTCTTATATGGACTAAAAACGCGGAATTATTTGTTTCTGGATCTGTCCCTAAATCCTGTCCATTTCGAGTGGATGGTGGATGGGAGCGGAGAAGAGCCTAAATCCTCACAAGTAGCAGGTAATGCCTCCCCCATTAACGATCAACAGATTGTGAGTGGCTCCTTTAAAGTACCGTATCTTCTACTTTAAATAAAATAAAGCACATCTAATGATCGCCACGGCGACATCGACCGGCCATTCGTGCTGTGGCTGTGATTCGCCTGTCTTCATCAGGACAGGGTTCAGCTAAAAAAGAAAAACAATAAATACTCTTCTGGCCAACAGAAGGTCTCGTTTCCCTGAACCTTATCTCGATCGAGACAGGCGAGTCACACACTGGCATTGGTCAGGCATCATGAGGAGAGAGTCCCTTCAGAAGCATGCAATTAAATCTACACTAGCATACATTTTTTTTTTAATTTCAGACATGCTTCATCCGAATTCAGCAGAAATTTAAACCAAAACTCATCAATCTATTATATCCCTTTGTCATCCATTGATTTGCTATTTGTAATTGGATTGACTTGACCAAGAGATGGTTACTCAAAGCTACACAATTCCCTATGGATTGGTTGTTACTATTTAGATGATCTTGGTCAAAGTAATCTGATTAAGTTTAAAATAGTTTTGTTTGACAGGTAGAACATCTTAATCCTTACTTAAAGATTAGGCCAAGTAGTTTCTGCCTATTATTATAATGAGAAAAGTAATGATAAATAGTGACAACTGGCTAGTGACTAGTATATCATTCCTATGCACAGAATCATGGTTTAAAGCTTAAGCGTCAAAAGCAAGGGAAGAAGACTTACCAATGCCGTGCATTGCCGTACGGGGACAGAGAATGAGACGATACACCACCATAGACTTTTGTGCCGCTGCAACCCGCATAAGAACGGCCGCTTCGCGTTCCCACTTGAGTCGAGATTCCGATATTGTCCACCACATCCAGGAGACGAACAGGGCTGCACAGTTTCAAGCTCTCTTTTAAGTAAAAGGCACACGATTATTTGGATATTGTCCACCATAGACTTTTGTGTCTCTCTTTTAAGTAAAAGGCACACGATTATTTGGATGAACAAATGACAAAGATGTAAGAGCACAAATCTCTTCAACAAAAAAAAAAAAAAAAATCCAGACAAACGAAAATTGGCAATGGGGGATTTGTTTTAGCAGGCAGCCACAGTTTCAAGCTCCTAGTGTGAACCACGAGGACGACAATTTCATCAAAGAAATAGCACAAAAAAGACATCTTATCCCATCGACGTACCGTGCAGTGCCGTACATGGAAACTGATGAGAGTAAAATAAAGCAAAAGAAGTCTCTGGCGACCCACTTGCAGTGCCCTAAATCCTAAACCCACTTGCAAACAAAGCATAGCCAGCGGCAGATCAACAAAAATGGGTGAAGTTTCTGCTGATTGACTGCAACATATGATGCAGGGTGGGTCATTCATATTTGGTCACAACTTGTCATCAAGACGAGAGTAGGTGAAGGGCCCTGATGAACATGTCAAGTTGGCTTTGTCTAACAATAGGAATAGGTCTCAGTGGCTTCTGATTCAGCACATATGATGATGTTTATGATTTCAGATGCAACTGAGACAAGAATGCGGAAAAGAGTGAAGAAACTTTTAAGATACTAATCGCATTGTTCGATGAAGGTGAGGAAAGCATATGTTGATAATGTTTAGAATCAACCCAAGATAAAGAGAAGAAAGGGCAAGTAAAAAACATGAGCTTAATTAAGCCAATCAAAATAAGCCATGGATCCACTTATTAATCCTCTTTACATCAAGTGGTTGTTGCAAGATTAATTTTGGCTCTCGATCAAACTCATAAGACAAACATAGATGCTGGCACTCATCAAATTTTCTTGTCTAATCCTAAATCACTTGTTAAGTATGTCAGCCGACGTCATTGTGGTTGATTGGATGGAAGGAAGTGGAAATGAGACGTCAACATGACAAAGCATGACATAAAATGCATGAAGAAAAACATGAGACAACGGAGAATGAGAAAATTAACATCACTAATATGAGTGTGCTCTAAATATTTAATTACGTACTTCTGTGAAAAATCTATAGAAGATATAAGTGCAGTTCATACAGATGCAATAAAACTATTAAAATGCAGATCTCTATCATTTCATCTAAGAGCTAAGCCCACATGGATGCGATATGATCTAAGTCATGTTTTTAACAACAGAAACAATCTGTAGCTATTAGGTCTACATTACTAATGCATATATGAACTGTGATGTGCACACATTCCTGTCAGGATTGCTGACAGATGCGTATGTGCACATAGATGGCGACATGAGCTATGAAGGGACCTTGCCACAAGACACGAGGCATCAACATTCATAAGAAAAGCAAGTTTTAAAGGTCTTGAAACCCATAAGAAGTGCAGCACTTTGGACATATAGGATGACATACCTACAGTTCTTTTGCACCGGTCTCAATGATAAACCAGTACATTTGATGCTTAAGCAAACATTAGTTCCAACTTAAATGCCAACATTCACAAAGGGGACATACAAGACCCACCTGCCATGTCCTGATACAGGTGGAAGACACATTCCTTTTAAAGCTGTTGATTCCTTTAAATTGACAAAAAAAAGGTGGCAGATTTATATCTATGCCACTAAATGAAGGCCGGAGAAAGCATATGTGTTTGTTTAGAACTTGTGCATGGTGATCCTGCAGTCAACTGCTACTTTATCTCAAAATTAGAAAGGCTGAAGCACATGGGCCTTTCTTTGAACCATTTGATGGAATTTGATGTTTCTTAATCATACTCGTACAAGTTTATATAAAGCAATCACAATATAAATCATGAGACTAATCACAAAAATTGAATTGTGAATGAGTATAGTTGATGCAGACAGCTCAAACATCCACAAAGGATGATCTAGACAAAAAAAGAAAAGACAAAAGAAACACCTTAAGCTATATATGAATGACTTAATGAGCAAAAATGGCAACTGAGAGAGCAATATTCTGTAGGTACATATATTACTCCAAGTACTATTCTGTAATGTACATGTACTACTGGTAATCAGATACTACAGCAATTCTATAGCAGCTATAACACAAAGTAGAGGGAAAAACATCCTCACCAGACAAAAATGAAGTTTTCTGAATGCGACCACGGAAGTCGGCTTCAGTGTGCTTTGATAAGTTTCTCCTTTTAAACTCGCTTTCCATGTCAGATCACCATTCATCTTCTGTTGAACTCCACATGAAACCCACTCCATAACGTAGATGATGATTAACATTGATAGGATAATCCACTTTCCCTATTTATCGACCAAATAATAACCTATTAAACCCCAGAAGTAAAGTCTTCTTGGTTGGTGATAACATGCAGCACATGATGTAGAAATTGTCCAAGTGCATGGTTAACCTCAAATGTTGCATTAAGTTCCAGTATAACTGTCATTTGCGTGAACTACATACTTCTTTAAAGTCCACACTTGCATATGGTCATTGTGTTCAATTACCACTTCTATACCATTCAGATATGAAATTTCAGCATAGAGGCTCAGTTATCTCAAATTGTAAGAACATTTTAAAAAAGGATAAAAATTAAATGCAAATTACTAATCACTGAAAAACTAACTCTTGTGTATCTTCCAAGAAATGAAAGTAATAAACTAAATCAACTAATTTTCCAGCTGCTTCTATATCATAATTCTTGAGTAAGTTTTGTAACTCTATGACCCTGGTTTTCTTATAAGATGATTTTAGAAGAAAAAGATGTAATTTGACAGAACGATCATTTTGCAACTTAATTCATCAAAAACTAAAGCAACTATAATGATACATAATCTGGCAATGCAAAGATTAATTCTGGGAACATGTTCGGGATAACAAATACTAGTGATCCCTAAAAGAAGAACTTTTCATGAGTTAAATCCTGGTCGGTTTATTTTTTTTTAAAAAGGCCATATTCCGTATGAACAGGATCATCCAATTTAGCACCTATATAACTTCACATGTGTAAGTTGACGGGCATGAATTCTGTATGCGGTCAAATAATGTGTAAACAAACTATAGGAAAAGGATGAGAAGATTACTGAAGAAAGGAAAACGAAGATGTGGTTCTTGCTCATTAGAGGCTAAACCATCCTTAAGCATCATATCAGGAAGCTCTAAAGCACAATAGTACCAACTGATCATTCTACTGTAAAAATGCCACCACAGTGGTCTCCAAATTGGTCCCAATCGTTCAATTCCATGAATCTCCTGCTGAATCAACATAGCCAATTTCAGCAAAGTCATATGTCAGGATACCCTAGGCAAAGGCATCAAGCTCAGAAGAGGTATTTCCTTTCATTGTTTGATCATTCAGAGCCAACTCCAACTTTCGTTCCCTAGAATACCCAAAATTAGGCAGAATCACATGATCCAATAGAAGACCATAAGGCTCCATAACTCTGCAACATGTTTGGCCTCGATGATCCGACCTCCTTTCCAAATACTAATATTAACCTACGTGGAGTGGAGCCAATCTTGTGCTTACCATTATATCAAACAGGTAATATGCCTGATCCAAGTGTCCCTTCAACATTAAACCAACTATCAGTAGATTACAACATGATAAATATGGTAAATTACCAACCCCATCCATTAGAAAGA